GTGTGTGTGTGTGTGGAGAGAGGTGACAGCAGATGCAGCCCTCACTTCGCCGCCTGTCCTATCCTATCCATCACTGTCAGGACAGCCAGGTGGACAGAAACACACACACATACAGTATATTATTTATATATATATAAAAATATACCCAGGAGAACATACACACACCGTCACATGCATACAGAAATGCAAGGAAAGGGGAAAATATATTCAGTTGCCAGTTGCATGAAACACAAACTGAGGTCAAGAGCACGCAGGTATGCAAGGCCACAACATACAGAATGTACAATGACCTTTGACCTCTTTCAACCCTTCTTAGAAGCAGGAAATGTGATTAAAATGCAGATATTTATAGCTGCAGGACAGAAATCTGCTGTAAAAGCTCCGCTGGAACACACTTCACCATCATATACTGCTGCAGGTATGAAGCAGTTGGTCAGTGAGCACCTTGCTGAAGGGCACGTCAGTCAGACGCAATGACACATGGCTTCTAAAGCGCTTCCTGCACTCAGATGTAGACGATTGGGATGACTGTGGCAGCTCCACTGGTAATTTTAGAAGAACACTGGCAGCTCTTGCTAAAGATTTTCGTCAGGGCAAAGCTAACACTGTGCTCTTGGTTAACCATACTTTCAAAAAGGTTAACCCCACTGAGATCAAGAAGGACTTTTGTTCAAAAGGAGACCTGCGAGGAAAGCAGCAGCAAGACAAACAGACAAACAACAAAGTCGGAACAAAGTCAAAGCCACGTATGAAAAAGAAAAACGCGCTGGAAAGGTACAGGTTTGTTGTGAGAGTTCCAGCAGAGAAACCAGAATGGTGTCAGCCCACAGCCCTTGGAAAACATTCTAAATACTCAATCCTTATGATAAACATTCCTCAACATAATAAAGAAAAAACCTACATTGGAAATGCATCCACTCCTAGACCAAGCTTAAAAAAAGGGGGAGTGAAAAGGGGTTTACGGATTGAAAACTACACTGAGCATCGTACAAACTAAGTATGTGTGATCAATACTATCTACGAACATGACCACCAACTGTTCATGGAGCAACCTCAGCTTCTCCAATATGATGTAGTGAAGACAGCAGGATGTGAGAATGGAGGTCACACCGCTGCAGTGTCCACGCAGGGTCACATGATGCAGCAGCTGGAAGCAGCTCTGTGATTAACATGCTAACCTACAGACAGTGAGCCCATATTTGTCCTCAACGTACAGATATACACACACACACATTCATAGAGGCCGGCAGTAAGCGGTGTATCAGTTGCTGCTCACACACACACACACAACAGCACACACACACACAACACACACACACACACAAACACGAACACGCACATAAACAATAACCATACAAGGACACAAGTCCGTGTGCGCGCCATGGCAGTCGGCACTGCGTCGCCGCGTGCAAACACTCACACAAACACCATGTCACGCAATCACTCACTCAACACACACAAACAGACAGAGGCAGTGGAGGGTGGCCGGTGCAATCAGCGATTCTGTCCTTGAGCGGAGTGAGGGATGCCGGGGTGCCACATCATCGCAGCTCGCACACACACATACACACAAA